ACTCAACTCTGCGAAACATAGTTCATCTCAACTTAGAGAAATAATACTCAACTCAATAATAATATACTCAACTTTGTGAAACATAGTTCAACTCAACTCAGAGAAATAGGGTTCAACTTAATAATAAGATACTCAACTCTTGATACTCAAGGATAAAACAACAATAAAAGATGTAATATATAGAGAACTGTAAAAATAATAGATAGCAACTCAATTGTATGTAAAAATACAATAATAACTCATTTGTATGTAAAAATACAATAATAACTCTTATTTGTGTGATTCTCTAACTGACAACCATCACTATAAGCTATGTGATGATACAACATCTTGCCCACGCTGCCAGAATTGTCCTATACCTTGCGGGGTATAGAATTCCTCTAGTAAGTGGATCTACTAGTCTATGCTTAAAAATCATTAAGGAATAATCTAAAAATTATGACCCTTTCTACCCACGTTGGCTATATGGTTTATGGGGGTTGTGAGTTGTTAGAACTCTCCCCCATATCGGTGCTCAATACTACTCCCAAAATTTAACTTAGCTCATATGTTTTAAAGAAAAAAATTCCTCTTCATAAAAATATTTCTCTAAAAAGAGATAGTACTCAAAATGCTCATGAACTCTTTGAAAATCTGTATTTCCTCTCTTCTTAAATGTAAAAACATTTACTCTTGTGAATACTTAGTTCCCATATATCATTTTAAAGAAAATGGAACTTGACTCTACTCATCCTCATAGTCATTTACTCAAGCCTTTAAACAAATTATGAGTAAATGTAAAAGACTTCTCAAAATAGGGTTCATGCCGAATTATGGATGTGAACGACTCAATTCAAGGTTTTAAATAACCATACATAGAACTCAATACCCAGAACTCAACAACTCCAGAACTCAAGGAGTCAATGATACTACTCATCTCAAGAATGTTCGACTCAGAGGATTCATGCGGAAATTATGGGCATGAAAAACTCAACTCAAAGACCTTCCCATGATTAGGAATATAATCTCAAAAGGATTAGGAACTCAATACTCAAGATTTAGAACTTGAAGATACTACTCCTCTCAAATATACTCAAATTATGGAGTTAATACGGAATTTATGGGCATGAACGACTCGACTCAAGGATCTAAATGATAATGTAGGCTCATGAATACAATCTCCTCATTCTCATACTCACTTACTCGAGTCTTGAAACAAGTTATTAGTAATTGTAGAAGACTCATCAAAGACTCAAAAGGACTTTCTTAGAAGACTCGAAAGAACTCTCAAGACTTAAATTTTAACTCTACCTTGAATTTGTATTATGAATTCAAGGTTATGAATGATTTCTAGATGTTTAGAAGTATTTTAGAGTAGTTAGAATCAAAGGGGAGTAAAGGTACCTTTTGAAGAAACTCAGACGGGCCAAACGACGAAGAAGGGGTGGGGGCAGGTGACCCTGGTGCAGGGCACCAACCCCTAAACAACTTTATTGGCACAATGGTGGGGCGGCGCACCACCCCTGCCCAGATTTCCCCAATGAATTTCTTTGCTCATTTTTAGACCCTAGTCTGCCTATATTCGAATGGTTTCTTCCCCACTCACTTAGATTTGAATACCCAACATAAGTACATACTAATCTACTCAAAACAACCCACAAATCACTAACTTTCATCTCAAGAATTCATCAAAACCCCAACAATCAAGATTACGAATGGAATTTCAAGAAAACTCATCAAGAACTCAAATCCTTCAACCTCAAGAACGAAATTTGCATTAAAATAACATGATTGACGTGTGGGTTTAAAACTCCAGAAACTAGTAGGCTAAAACTAGAGCTAAACGTGAGGGTTAACGTCAAGAGTGAAGGGCAAGAGCCAAGGGAATTGGGTGAGGGCCATGGCAAGGGGGCCAAGGCTGCCCAAGAATTTTTCCAAATCACTGCCTCACCTCCACGAAGGTCTTCACGACCTGTGGTGGCTACCACGCCCCATGGTGCCACCCGTGGAGGGCTAGGCAGTAGCTCCCCAAAATCTGTCAAAAGAAGTGTTCCTCTTCACGAGCCACTTCACGGCTCGTGGAAGGGATTTGGTGGTGTGTGAGTTGGAGAAAAGTTGCTTAGCCACTTCCTCAAGGTCCACGAGAGGGACCACGACTCGTGGCCTTGACCACGGCTCGTGGAGCTCCTCGTGAGATTGCCTTGGGATTATGAGATAAAGGCACATAATACCTAGCCACTGCCTCAAGTCCACGAGTGGGACCACGGCTCGTGGTCATGACCACAGCTCATGGGGCCCCTCGTGGCATCTGGGCAGGTCAAGTAAGTTGAGGGTTAAATGGATCTTTTCCTGTTTAAGTCCAATTAAAGTGAGGTCGTCTTGGGTAAGTTTGGGGTCACTATATAAGTTATTTTTAAGTCAAATTCACCAAAATTAAGTCAGTTTTTCACAATAACTAAATATTTCCTAAATTCATCTCTTCTCCGAAAATTCTCTCTCTAGAAATTCAAGGAAGAAAAAGAAGGAAGAAGGTGGGGATAGGGTTCAAGAAGCAAGATTTAACACCGATTTAATTGGGATTCATAACTAAGGTATGGTAGTCCTTCATCCATGGATAGTCTTAATCCAAGGAGTCCCTTCAAATTCAGTTTCAAAATTAGAAATTCCCCAAAAGCTAGGGTTTGACTTCAATTTCATGGGTTCTTTTCAAAAATGTTTATAATGATTGATTGATGATATAATATGAATAAATTGATGATTTCCTATATTTATTATGTTGATTTCCCCCAAGAACCTATGAAACCCCATATTCCCCAATTATGGTCTTGTGATGTGGGTTTGTTGATTATAGAAGGATAATATGAGATTATGCTTGTGATAGTTGTGTTACTTGAATCATGTTATTATCCATGTCTAATGTAGTAATTTTAGATGTGTTGATTTAATGTGATCCTTGATCCTTGAAGGGTAAGTTATGATGTTATTCATGATTATGAGATTTATGTATATGCTTAAAGAACACTTTGAGAGTGAATGGTCCATGATTATGATGATGTTGTTGTGTTGATTGAAAGGCTATTCTCATGAACACATAATGAGCATAATGTGAAAGGTTTTCTCACATAATGGAGATTCTAGATTGAAAGACAATTCTCACCTAAATGAATCTAATGTTATAGGTAGACATGGATGGTGAAAGGTTATTCTCACTCATGATATAATGAGCTATTCTAATCAGACAAGTTATGACTTAATAAGTACTCCGTGGGGTAAATGAATATCACCGAGCAGATAATGAATATGAGATGGAAGGCTTCCTGTTAAGAAAGACCGGGTTTCTAGAAACAATCTCATGATATAGAAGCTCTCCCATTAAGAAAGGTCGGGTTTCTAGTAACAATCTCCTTATCCCATAAACAATATGCCCCCATAGGTTCTTTAGCTAGTGGATCCACCTAAAAGCTAATTTGATGATGGTCTTACCTTAGGCAAGTAGGACAACCATTTTCGATGTGTGTACCACCGGATTCCACTTTAAGCTCACATGGTCTATATCGGTTAAGGCTTATTCCCACTATGAACAAGAAGATGAATTATGAACTATGGTTACTCAAGAAGCTTTACTTAACATGGGTAGGATTATGGGATCTTATCCATGCATTGCACAAGTAGACTTTGAGGGTACTTTTGGTATGTTTCACTTATGATATGATGATCTATGAAATGAATATGCTTATGACTTATGCTTCTCCTTTTCCTTCAAATGATGCTTTACCTTAGTAAATTGAATGAATTCAACTAAAATGTCCCTTTTAGTATTCTTCAAGGTTTTCATGCATGACTATTATACTTAGTGCATTTTTGTACTAACCCATATTTTCCTACATTTTTCCCCAAGTGTATGGTCTGGTTCTCAAGGCGGTCCCCATTGTGGCTAGAGCTTGGATTTGTTCATTTCTTCTTGCTTGTTGGTGAGTCCTCATTGTTCGAGGACAAATATTATCATTGTAGTTGCTTTTATTGTATTTTTATTTTGGATTATGCTGTATGTGTTGTGTCCTTATTTGATTCAAAATTGTAATAGTTGGCTAATTGAGACAAGTCTAGACTTCCACTTTCCTTTACAAAAATCTTAGACTTGAAATGCGTTTTTACTCTTTATTATTCTATGCTTTATGTTATGATATGCTAAGGGGCTTACATGGGGTCTTTCAAGGTTCTATATGCCCTGTTACATCTAGTGGGTACCCTTGGGTCGTTACAAACTATGTAATCAAAGAACAAGGTTTAGAATGATTCTAGGATGATGTCTCATAAGCCACGTCTAGTAGAGTCTTGTTCATGAGTGTGAAGCGCACCACATTTATGAATGAGAGGCTATAAGATGTTTAGGAAACTACACTTCTTTCATTACTCTTAAGTCGTGCCTTAGAGTTAAACTCTATAAAGTCCCTCTCCTAATCCTTCCCTTGTGTCTTCAGGATATGAATACATGAAGGCCAAACACAAGAAGAATGGAGGATGACAATGTGAATGAAGAAGCTCCTCAAGTTAATCAAGCTCCGATTAATCCTTTAGCTATGTCGGATGTGGAGGTTAGGTCAGCTTTTCAAATGTTATCCGAAGCCATGACAACTCAAGCTCAAGCTTTGACTACTCAAGCTCAAACGGTGACAGCTCAAGCCAATAAAGATGTTGGGACTCATGTGAACCCAAATGTGAATTCAGCTGCTTCATGGGTTAGGGATTTTGCTAGAATGAACCCTCCCAAATTTCATGGTTCCAAAGTGGAAGAGGATTCCCAAAGGTTTATTGATGAAGTTTATAAAGTACTTGGCATTATGGGAGTGCCTCTATAAAAGAAGGTGGAGTTAGCCGCCTACCTATTGAAAGATGTGGCTCGAGTTTGGTATGAACAATAAAAGGGTGAAAGACCCATATGAGCGGGGCTGGTAGAATGGGAATCGTTTCAATCGACATTTCTTGATAGGTTCTTTCCCCTAGAGTTGAGGAAACTAAAGATGCAAGAGTTCATTAAACTTCGTCAAGGAGGTATGAGTGTGAAAGAGGATGCTCTAAAGTTCATCCAACTTTCCAAGTATACTCCAACCATAATGGCGGATTCGAGGGCTAAGATGAATAAATTTGTGATGGGAGTGTCCGACATGGTAGTCAGCGAATGTCATTCAGCAATACTTATCCCAAGCATGGATATTTCACGTCTCATGGTGCATGACCAAAAAATCGAGGAGTCAAAACTCAAGAAAAAGAATAGGGAGGTGAAAAGAGCTAGAACCAGTGATGGGAATTTCTCCAATGCTAGGTCCGATGGACAAGGTCAACAAAAGTTCAAACCAAGGTATTCCAACCAATATTCCTCAAATGCTTCTCCAACGGTCAACAAGGATAGGGTGCCCAACCCTAAACCTGAAGGAGGTAATAGTGGTGGTTCTTATGTGAATAGGCCTAATTGTACAAAATGTGTGAAAAATCATGATGGTAAGTTCCTAGCCGTCACTGATGTTTGTTATGGTTGTGGTAAAGGTGGTCATCAATTGAAGAACTTCCTAACACTTACGGCCAAAGGGAGAGAAGGTAAGCAAGCTCCTCCAAGCGGTTCAAACTCCAATGCTAAAAAATAAAACCGTTTTTATGCTCTTCGATCCAGAGATGACCAAGAGAGCTCCCCGGATGTGGTGACCGGTATGTTAAAAGTCTTTTCTGTTGATGTATATGCCTTGTCAAATCCCGGTGCTATTTTGTCCTTTGTGACACATTTTGTGGCCATGAAGTTTGAAATACTCCCCGAAGGGTTAGTAGAACCTTTTTTGGTCTCTACCCCGGTTGGTGATTCCGTGGTGGCTAGGAAAGTTTATAGAAGTTGTGCCATAACCTTTTCTCATAGAGTTACTTTGGTGGAGTAAAACATGTTAGACTTCGATGTGATTTTGGGTATGGATTGGTTGCATGAATGATATGCCTCTATCGATTGTAGGACTCGAGTGGTTAGATTCCAATTTCCAAATGAGCCTAACTTAGAATGGAAGGGGGAAATTCTATGCCTAGAGGTCAATTAGTCTCTTGTCTTAACGCTAGGAAGATGATCTCCAAATGGTGTATTTACCATCTTGTAAGGGTGAAAGATGTTGAATCTGAGACCCCTTCTCTAGAGTCGGTTTCGATAGTGAATGAGTTCCCAGAAGTTTTCCCCGATGATTTTCCCGGTATTCATCCCAAGAGGGAAATAGATTTTGGTATTGAACTTTTACCGGATACGCAAACTATATCCATTCCTTCTTATAGAATGGCTCCGGCCGAGTTGAAAGAACTTGAAGGATTTATTAAGGGCTTTATCCGATCAAGTATCTCTCCATTGGGTGCTCCAGTGTTGTTTGTTGGAAAGAAGGATGGGTCTCTTAGAATGTGCATCGATTATCGTCAATTGAATAAAGCGACCATCAAGAATAAATATCCTCTTCCAAGAATTGATTACTCTTTTGACCAACTTCAAGGGGCTAGCTATTTCTCTAAGATTGATCTTCGTTCGGGTTATCACCAATTGAGGGTGAGAAGGGTTGATATTCCCAAGACGGCCTTTAGAACCCGGTATGGTCACTATGAGTTTGTGTTACTGTCGTTTGGGTTGACTAATGCTCCGGCGACATTTATGGACTTGATGAATAGAGTGTTTAGGCAATACCTAAACATGTTTATGATTGTGTTTATCGATGATATTTTGATCTGTTCAAGGAATGAGCTGAACATGTGAACCATTAGAGAATTGTATTGCAAGTTCTTAAGGACCAACAACCTTTTGCAAAGTTTAGCAAGTGTGAATTTTGGTTAAGGTCCGTATCTTTTCTTGGTCATATAGTGTCAAACAAGGGTATTGAGGTAGATCCTAAAAAGACGGACGTGGTCAAGAGTTGGCCTAGATCTTTAACTCCTTCTGACATTAGAATCTTTTTGGGTTTGGTCAGTTACCATAGGAGGTTTGTTGATGGGTTTTCCTACATTGCTTCTCCATTGATGACTTTGACTCAAAAGAAGGATAAGTTTGAGTGGTCAGAGGCTTGTGAGAAAAGCTTCCAAGAGTTGAAAGATAGACTTACTTCCGCTTCGGTGTTGGCCTTACTGGAGGGTACCGATGGTTTTGTGGTGTATTGTGAGGAATAACCAATTGCAATTCTTCATCGCGATGTCCGAAAGCTGAGGATCGGGGAGATAAAGTCCATGAAAGTTCAATTATAGCATCGTCCAGTGGAGGAAGCTACTTTGGAAACCGAGAAGGACATGCGAGACAAGTATCCATAGTTACTCAATGATTCAGGTACTACTCTACTCTTACCTTAGCCAGTTTTTCCTAGTTTATCACTTGGGGACGAGTGATCAGTAAATTGGTATCTATTGTAAGGACATGTTCCCATCGTAATTTGGGCCAGAAAACTTTTGAGTAATGACTTGGAAAAATTCTAGCCTAGGCCAGACTTGGACAAAATCTGAGTCAGGTGAGGTCTAGGGAAATGTGGTAATGAATGGGGGATTTAATTATTAATTTTATCACATTAGTAGATAGCCAAGATGTTAAAGAGCATGTACGAGTTTACGAAATCGAATACAGGCGAGTAAAACTCCCGAAACCAATCTTAGCGTGAAAGGGTAGTTTCTGAACATCAAGGTTTGAAGATGTGTTGTGAAATGGGAGCTTAGAAGTCAAATTCCGACTCTCTGTCTCTGTGCAAGCCACCGAGGTAGGATTATACTCTCCAGGACGGGGCCGCTGTGAAGGGATGGGTCTCGCTGTGGCAGGACAGTCGCGAGGTAAGTTGGGGAAAAACCCCAAAATAGTTATTTTTTGCAAAACTTCATTCTTGAGAGCTAGGAGACGACCCAGGCCATTTCTTGACAGTTTTCCATAAATTCTAGCGCTAAATGTAAGATTATTACTCCCCTAATCCGTAATTTGATTTGTAGAACTAAGAATCTTGGGAATTTATCATTGGGGGAGGGTTTTGGCCTGAAGTTAATGGTAGGAAAATCCCTAGTTGAATATTAAGATCTTGGGTTTGGCCTTTGATTGATATTTTGATTATTATCAGGGTAATTAGGCCTTTTTTATTGATCCTTGCATTAAATTACTTGTTTTAGACCAAGAACAAGCGGAAAGAGTCTGAAAAGGGAAGGATCAAGTGTCTTAGGAGCATTCAAGTTTGGTCTCGAGGTAGGTGATGGTTTGATTTCATGTTTGTGTGATACATGCTAGTTAATTGCTCATTGTATGCATGTGTGTATGTGAATAGGGAAAAGTGAATCAATTCTAATGAAATGATTACGTGTGAACAATTATATGACATGAACCTATTACGTGATTGTATGACTATGAGTATTATTCCTTATGGTGTGGTTGTGATTGTGGTTGTGTTGATTGGACCAGGTGTCACATTCCGATATATACATTGGATCGGGTGTCACATTTCGACACATACATTGGACCAGGTGTCACATTCCGACACATACATTAGACCGGGTGTTACGTTCTGACACACTAACAGTTTGGGTATGGGTTCCATGAGAGAACCACTTGTGATTAATATGTTCTTGTCAACTTGTCATTGATATTAGGAAATTGTATGTTGTTCCTGAAATGCTAATTGAACTATGTATTTTGTATATTTGTGTTTACTGTGTTGCAATTACCTTCTTGTGTTTCGCTTAATGGAATAGCCGCGTGATCCAACCAGTACACTATGGTTGTGTACTGATGCTACACTTTCTCATTCTTTGTTGAGTACAGGGCATCTTCAGGCGGCTACTTAAAGACCTCAGCTAGGGGATCACTAATCGAGACCGGATTCAAGGGTGAGAGAGTTCTTTCAAGCTGCCATGGATCCATCCATAGTTTAGTCTACTCTTTTCGAAATCAGACTATTTATGTTTTAGACATTTCCTTGTGTTTAGTTTCGGGGTTGTACCCTTTTTTCTTGGACTTGTTGTTCAGTAGAGTTTTGGTACATTGACTTTCAAGTTCTATGGATTGAATTTCCGCAATAGTTATGTTAGTTGTTTTTGTTAAACTTTCGGAGTGTATGGGAACTCCATTTTTCATTAGTCAATTAAACCTGCTTCTGTATCTTTAAATGCTTAGTTCTCGTTAAGTGGCTTAGCTGGGTTGTAGTGGTGGTTCTCCCACCGGAGGGTTAGTGTGGGTGTCAATCACGGCGGTCTGGGTCGTGACACTAGTATCCACCGACAGTGGATAAAAGAATTACACTGTCATTTTATTTTTAGAAATATTATCAATATATTTACATATTATTAATATTTAAATAAAAATAACAAAAGAGTATTTTAAGGTAAATTGGATTCTAAATTAATTAAATGGAGTTGGTAAAGGATTCTTATTTGGCTTACCAAAAACAAAGACTTTTTTTACCGTTTGTCTTCATCGTTATTATTTATCACACTCGTCCTCAATACCATTAGACCAAATTGAGACAATCACCAACACACACAAAAATATATGATAACTTTTTATCATGTTTTCTTGTTATCATTGAGTCGGATAAAAAGTTATCATTTTTGTTTGTGTGTGAAGGTAGTTCTCTCAAATTTCTCCAATGATGTTGAAGACTAGGGTGACAAATAATGACAATAAAGAGAGACAAGCGGTAAAAAAAGTCCTTATCTTAATTTTATAAACCAAGTAAGAGTCCTAAACAAATTTCACATAATTAATTTAGAATTGAAGTTACCTTATTAATACTCTTTTTGTTATTCTTACTTAAATATTAATAATATATAAAAATACTTAATAAACTTTCTTCTTTGGCTTTCTTCAAAACAAAAATCCTTCTATTTCTCCCTACCTTGTTCCCATAATTATTTATTCTATCAAACTAGTTACCATAATTATTTATTCTATCAAACTTGTTACCATAATTATTTTTCCTTTTTTTGGCTGTTACAAACAAAAGTCAAAGAAACTGAACGTCATATCAATTTCAAAACTACTTGCTCCCTTCATTTTTCACTTATCCATTATTTTGAAAACAATAGTTTTGTAGATCACATGTTTGAGGCACTATAACAGCCTCCAGGCTTAAATACAGAGGAAAAATTGTATAGCTATACATTCCCTTAGCCCTCTTCACCCTCGTTGCAGAATCAAAATTTTCACTAAAAAAAATTATAATATAAAAAGTATAACACACGGAAAATCAATAGCATTCAACATCTTAATAAAGTGTCAATGCAATCATGCAATTGACATACCTCATTCTCAAGATGCTGAAAGATTTAGCTTTCTTTCGATTTTTTGACGTCAACAAGCTGCACACAAAAAGTGGATGTGTATCACAAGAAAAATCATGTAAAAAGTTTTAGAAACTTCAAGCTACAATTTTAAATTTATGAAGAAAAAAAATATTTTTAATAAATTATTTATACAAATGTATATTTAAATACAAAATATAATATTTGGCTCGAAACTAACAAGTTCTTTCGATACAATAATAAAAAATGTTGTTATTGTTGTACCTCTTCGTCAAGAAAATGTTGATGGAGTGAGTTGTTATCCATTTTTGTAGATTTGAAATAAAAAAATCACAAAGAAAATAGAGGTTGAGTAGTGAATTACTAATTT